AGGTAACTGCCTGCAACAAGATTTGCCAGTAACAATACATGCAGGTGACATCCCAGACGTTTACTGAGACTTCATTACCTCCCTAACCACAGTGAGATTATCTGGATGCCACCCACACCTTTTGCACAATGAATTATGTTCTGAAAGTCTTCATTACATGTACCAATCACATTGCAAAGCAGATGTTTACATTATTTTATAAGGTTTTTAGATAAGATTTCCCTAAAGATACAAGTTATTTGAAATTGAATAAGGAAATACTGTAGGAATGGTTTAGGTTTTTTTGTTTGTTTTCTTAAGTGACATACTGGAATTATCCCATATTAAATATCTCAATTATCCCATTTATCCCATAGGTCTAGTAAATATGTTTGCTTTTCTGTCTAGCTCTGCAAAGTTTGTCCTCACACTGCTGAGACAACACTGAGTTTCTTGACCACTTGGGCACACTGGTGGCTCAAGTTCAGCTGAGAATCAGCCAACACCTCTAGATCCATTAATTCAAAATCTCTCCTTGTTAACATGCATTGCTGTGTCAGGTTAGTGGGTCTCTAACACAGACATGCACAAAGGCAAGCACAGTGAAAATTGACCTTAAAAAGCAGCAAAGTCATCCTTTTGGTTTCAGTTGTCCTTGTCCTCAAGCACAACCTATTTCACGATGCAAACTTTGTAATTACAATCTCCACTTCTAATGAAATGTCCTTTTAGCAGCCCCTGATTACTATCACAGTGAGGCATTCCAGACTGGGAAGTGCATCTCAGCACAGTACTTGGAAGCATTCTTTCTTACAGCCACACATAACCTCCAGGAGCATTGCCAGGTTTCAAAGTTTATCTATACACTGGGCACTCACTCAGTCAAGCAGGACTTGCAGGTTCTTTTTTATTATTATTATTTGTTTTTGTTTTTTACAGATTCATTTCAAGGATGAGGCCACTGATTTTTACACTGATTTTTTCCCCACTGATTTCAATGTTTCATGTGTATATGACTTTGCACAGAAAGACAACGTAGAAAGCCTGTATAGAGCATTCAAGTTTTAGTCACCCACGAGCGATATCCATGGATCTCATTTGCTTCTGGACAGATGATGGTGGCAATCCATAAGGAAAGATGGGAGACTAATGGCAAGGGATACTCTGCTAATGAAGCAACTTCAGCAAGATGAGCCGCAAGCTCATGAAGCCAAACCATGACTTAGAAAAGGTCAACTTTGCTGGACCTTAGCAGAAGATGCACTTTCAAAACAGAGATTATTCACAGCTTGGACCGCAGTCTGACCTTTTCAATAATCCTGAAGCTAAAATATATAAAAAGTAATAATGGAGAAACTCCAACAAAAGTAGCCAAAATACTAAGCCAGCAAGCCATGCTAATCCCGTGCTGCCGACTCCTTTCCCTTGCCCCACAATCAGTTATTACTATGAAAACTCTGACCTAAAAGCAACAGTAGATCCTTATCTTTTTATGGTTTTGTAGTGAATTCAAACCAGCAAGAACTCTGGTGGAACCTCCTCTTTAAATTCAACAGGTGCTCTTTTGTAGTCATAGAGCCATTTATGGGTAATGATGGGTAAAAAAATAAAATAATTGTCATCCTTGAAGAGAACATCAGCCTCGGAGTCATTTGGCTAGGGTTCTTAAAGAAACTTACCTTGCAGCTGCCCTATATCACATGCACAAAATAACAGAGAATTAAAGAAATATCTTTTTTCCCCCCCTCTTTTCCACAGAACTTTACAGGACACAGATTTTTTCCTTGTTAAAAAAAAATTTCTGAGACTTCCAGAAATCTAATAGTACACTCCTTGCAATCCTTATTCCAATTCAAAGCCACAATATGTGCCCACAATACCAACACCAAACAGTAAATCAAAAATGCAGTTCTGGGAAATACAGGAAATTTTTGTACAAATAGTACCACCTAGTGGACTAAAAGAATACAGAGCAGTTAGACCTATCCACATTGACTTGAATCAAGATCATCCTTACACAAATGCCATCATAATTTAACTAGTGCAGATAGACATATAACAAACTGCCAGACCTTCTTAATGAAGCTCCAGAAAGGTCACTGACTTCTGTTATACACATTTGCTGTTAAATCACCTAGCAACACATGCAAGAACCATGCTGCTACTGCACATACCACAGTTACACGGAAGCGATTTAAGATGACTGCAAAACAAACGCGTTACTTCATGACAGTATTTGGTAGCATGGTAGAAGCAGACAAGAAAAAAACAAACAAAACCTCCCAGTGTTTTCTGTTATTACTGCTCTATGAAGTATGAATATTATGGATCTTACACTGCTATGAAATCCTCAGCACAGCATTAACCAAAGAGCTTTGCTACCTGTAATTGAGAATCACAGAATCACCTGGGTTGGAAGGGACCTCAAGGATCATGTAGTTCCAACCCCCCTGCC